AGACAGTCTCAACTGATAGACAGACACATCGAGCTGCTTTTCCTGCTTCAGTTTTTACTCCTCCTCCTCTCGCCAACGTCACCCTGACAATTACAAATAGGTCTCACACAAACCATACCTGTCAATCTTTTTAATTGCTTTGTTTTCTTTTTTTTTTTTTTCCCGGAGCTAAACAATATGACACAAAAAAGGAAATCTTAATACAGCATAACATAAAAGATTGCACGTTGGAGGAAGACATTCAGAGATTGTTATTGTGATCCACTGGCTGATCCCTGGTAGAACCCATGTGTTCTAAGCCAAGTTAAGCAGACATTAGTCCCTGCAGATTCTCAAAACTGTTAGTTCCCCTCCCCCCTCTAGAACACGCATACACATGCGCCCACGTGGATTCAAACCACCCTTGGGTGAAGTATGTCCTACATTTGAGAAAAAATACCTGTGTCACTTTTGCAATCCTAGTTTGGAGATTAGACTTAGCTGGGGAAGGGCACTGTGTGGCTTTTATATTTTGGCAATACATGGGTATATGGAAAACAAGAAATGTTTTTAAATTAAAATATACAACTTAAATAGAAATTTAAAGATGAGCTTAGCTCATCACAGACATGTGTAGAAATATTTAATTGGGCCCCTCTATGAATCGTGAATTGATTATTTAGTCAATGCACGCAATTAGGGAGAAAATTGACACGATGAAACGACATCTTTCTGGCTGGGTTAGAAAATGAGGTCTTCATACATCATTGCAACGTCTCCAGTTCCATTAAGCTCCTCGGGGGCACCACCTACAACTTTAAAATGTTTATGTGCTCTGGGAATTTTGCCCTCTAGTTTCAGTATGTGTGTTCTCTCCCAGTGGGAAACCTGTAACCGTCTGGTAGAGCTACTTAAAACATTCATGGAAAAGCACAAAATCTAGGCCAAGATAAATAAAATGGCTTAGTTCGTGCAACTTGCACGGGACAGACCGAAGGCTCCAGGCGCGGTGAGGCGTTCTCCGGACAGGAGGCCCTAGCCAAGGCTCAAGGTGCAAGGAGAGCCCTCACCCCGCTGCTGGAGCTGGTGCGCGCTCACCGGGGCGGGGGCTCCCTGCTCGGCCCAGGCCCCGGCGTGCCCCGCCGCCCCGGCCGCGCTCGGGGTTGATTCGTACCACCTTGCAAGGAAGTGAACGCTTCGCACCCATGCCGCGCGCGCTGTGCTGGGCGGGCGCTGTCCGGGCGCCGCCGGACGCTCGCGCCTTCCTCGGGGAGCCGGGGTCTCGGCGCGCAACTTTGTCGGCCCCTCTCCTCGCCGGGCGGGGGTCGCGGCGGGCGCTCCTAGTGCGCGGGTCGCAGCTCTCTCATTGTGCGCCAGCGAGGCCGATCGGGCTGTCCTTTCCTCGCGCACTTAGTCTAGGAGGAAGAAAGCAAACAAGACAGAGGAGTGAAGCCCCCGTACATACATGCGCCGGGGGATGTCAGCGCTGCTCCACCTTCCAAACAGTCACAGATCAAACAGTGTCACCCGCCGGAGCGCCACTTTGTGCCCCGCGCTACCCCTGGGGGGCTTGGCTGCCAGGATCGCCGCTGCCTCCGAGGCGAAATCTAATGCAAACACATTTCGAGCATGGATTTTTGGTCGGTCTTGATCTTCCAACAGAAAAATTTTGAAAAATATACAAAAAGCACCCCCCTCAATAAAAGAAGAAAAAAAAACGCCAACAACAACAACCCGGAGAGTATGTGCCAAGGGGTGAAGAGCAGACATTCACTGGATGGGCGAGGTAAGCGTGGACTGTCCCCCCCCGCCCCAAACTCCTGGGAGAGAAGAGATGCACTCTCGCTCTCTCCTCTTTTCAGTGAAATATAACACACATTCGGATCGCAGAGCTTTCAGACAGTCTCAACTGATAGACAGACACATCGAGCTGCTTTTCCTGCTTCAGTTTTTACTCCTCCTCCTCTCGCCAACGTCACCCTGACAATT